TGTGTGTGTGTGTGTGTGTGTCATCAGCAGCCGTGCTTCAGTGACCAGAAGAAGAAAACCTCCAACCTGGAGGCTTATGTCAGGTGGTTCAACAGACTGTGTTACCTGGTAGCTACTGAGATCTGCATGGTGAGTGAAAAATGTAGATATACCAGTTACTCTTCAGTCTGACATTAAACGACAGAAGAAAATTGCCCATTTCATACTGTCGTAGTATTTCATTACACAAACTGGAATGGCAGTGCATACCACCAAGGTGCTACAGTCCATTTAAGAAACCACATTTAAATCCACTAGAGCCTGAATTTTATTTGGATCTGCACCAAATTCTACACACGTATAGAAATCCTTATCCGTTTCCTAACCTAAACTTTAATTGATTCATCCTTAGTCCATTCCCAATCCTTCCACCAAGTTTCAAATAAATCAGTGGTGTAGTTTTTGCATAATCCTGTTGAGAAACAGCAATGGAAACATAATCTCCTTGGACTAATGACAAACAGCAGATGATGGCAGTTTAGTTGTATTAGAGCACCACTGCCCCCCAATGGTCTCATAATGTTACTACACTTTCATTGAGAAGGCTTGTTTAATGATATGTGTTTTTAAAAACAGAACGTTAAACAAACCTCTCCACCTTTTTGCAGCCGGCAAAGAAAAAGCAAAGAGCCCAAGTGATCGAGTTCTTCATCGACGTTGCCAGGGAGTGTTTCAACATTGGAAACTTCAACTCCCTCATGGCCATCATCTGTGAGTCTAGTTTTGCCATAGCTGAGAGTATTTTCTCCCACCTGACATGGGATTAATAGTTGAAATTCATTTCCTCCTGTAGCCGGTATGAACATGAGTCCTGTGTCACGGCTGAAGAAGACTTGGGGCAAAGCCAAAACTGCCAAGTTCTTCATTCTGGAGGTAAGCACAATGCAGCCATTCACTGAGTGAGAGGCCCATGACATGTGAGAACTTGAAGCTGACATTGTTTTGCTTATTTCCATTTAATTTGACAGCATCAGATGGATCCTACAGGAAATTTTTACAACTACAGGACGGCCTTGAGAGGGGCCGCCCATCGCTCTCGGACTGCCAACAGCAACAGAGAAAGGGTAAGGCTTGACACCATGTCACTCTGAAAGCATGCTGGCATTGATTTTGTGTTTTTAATTTCACCTTCATGCCAATATCTCTATATCGTTCTGTCCATTTTACTTCCTCAGATTGTAATTCCCTTCTTCAGTCTGCTGATCAAAGATATTTATTTCCTGAATGAAGGATGTGCCAATCGGCTGCCCAATGGCCACGTGAACTTTGAGGTAGACTGATGCTCTTCTCCTTAAGCCTGTTGCATTTAACCTACCTGCAAACATGTGTTAAGTGTAATTTTGTGTCTTAGAAATTTGTGGAGCTGGCACGTCAGGTTGGGGAATTTATGACATGGAAACAGGTGGAGTGTCCATTTGAGGAGGACCGGGCCATCCTACACTACCTCCACACCGCTCCGATCTTCAGCGAGGACGGTGAGAACCCGCCTTGTCGTTTTAATAACATTTTGGAACAAGTTTATCAAAGTGATTTCATAACAGAGTGTGAATGATCTAACTCACCTGCTGCTCCAAGAGCATGTTTTTTTTAATTTTATATTCTGATGTTGAGATGCTTTGACTCAAAACTTGTGCTTAGATTTTCTCTGCTTGTGCTCAAACTGTGCACTCCAGCTTTCTATTGGTTGGGGAATTTTTAATACCCAAAAATCCAAGCGTAGAAGAAAACTCAGAGAGCAGTCATCTGAGTGAAACCACACAGCTTGATCACAAGCAGAGCAAATCTAAGCTCAAGCAAAGGCTATTTGAGTGCAAGCTTTGGGTGAAAGCATCACAAAATCATGACATCAAAAAGTCCTGCTCTCACGCTCCTGAATAAAGACAAGATAAAAAATAAAATACGTCTCTTCTCATTATCCCCAGGTCTTTACCTTGCGTCCTATGAGAGTGAGAGTCCAGAGAACCAAGTAGAGAAGGACAGGTGGAAAGCACTCAGGTAAGACTCACAATGAAAGATGCTCTCAAGTGTTGAAGAAGACGCTCTGTCCTTCATCAGCATCTATTTCCTCCCCTCAGGTCTAACGTTCTGGGAAAGACATGAGGCGCTGTCGGCAGCTAAACCCCTCCCACCAGCGGGGGAGCGTGTGTTCTCACTGCACTAAAACGAACTGTGAAGGAACCAAGCTGGTACTTAGGTGATTTTCTATGAAGAAATTATGACAAAAAAAGAAGCGCGGTGAACAGGATTCATCAAGGAGACTGTAAAAATAAAAAATAATAATAAACAAGCCGGGAAAAAAAGTGAATTGAAAATGTTAAGCTAAAGAAACAGGAGTAAAATGCCTTTGGAGCATATCAGTGATGAGGTACAGTTAAGTAGGAGAGCAAATACAGCTTCTCCTCCCCCCCATCCCCTCCATGTGTGTTTACTCTGTGAAGATATGTTTACTACTATAGAGAGAACAGTTACAGGGAAAACCACTTTATAAAATGAAATTCCTACTGATGCTTTAGTTGTTTTTGTATTTGCTCCTCTCCCCGTTTCTCTATTTCTCTTTCTCTTTGGTCCAACGCCTCATCCAGGTTTTTAATTTAAATTAGTTTTTTCCTTAACTTGTAATGTACTGTAATCAAACTTACCATGATGTAAAGGGCGCTGGCTAGCCTGTATCAGATTTTATAGGTCTACTGAAGGAACGGCGACCGTGTCTATCTGCGACGACAGACGATGACACACGTCGAGCATTTTACCAATTCATCTCATGTGTACTGTTTGCATGAGAGAAACCTGTTCATTGGTCATCTCCTCTTGTAATTTTATTTATTTTATCTTAATTTTGGAAAAGTGTTGGACAGGGGGAGTGGAATATGAACTGTTTTAAAAAAGTGTTTACTCCTTTTACTTTGTAAATGAATTGTGCCATTAAATGCAACAAAACCCACAGTATGGCTTCTAGCCGGTCACAGCAGGAGGTGTAGAATGTGTACAGGTGACATTGAACCCCTCATCTTTCTGCTCTTCAGGAAGTTTTCTCTCTGACTGATGTTCAGTTGTCTGATATATTTATGGAGATTTCTGTGCTGACAGATGTATAGTTTTTATCGTATCTTTCCTTTACTGAATATGAAGTCCGACGGCATGCTACACGGCGAGGCGATTGAAAGTGGCATTAAGTGTATCCACCTTGTAATGTTTAACACAACCTTTGTAGTGAAAATGCATTGCTGCATTCTGTAGAAGGACAATGATGAACTGGAGATTTTCTCTGTGTGAAAATGTAAAAAGAGGGAAACTTGTGCCATGAATCCCTGGTTGTCTTGATAATTCAGGTTCCTCTGACTTGAAATGTGTTTGTTTATTGTTTTGTGGGATTGTTGCTGAGCTTTTTTTTTTATTTTGGTGGTTCTGTTGTGATTTGGGAAACATGTTTGAGGGTGTGGGGTGGGAGAACATGGGTAAAGGGAACGGGGACTATGTAATTATATAAGCTTTTAAAAAAGTCTTATTCAGTTTGCTCTAATTGATTGATGTCAGTGTTTTCTCTTAAGAAGCACCTTTCCCTTCCAATAACAGACTGTCTGTAATTCTCCTTCCTCATGTGTCACCAACAAACTGGCTTTTCTTGTAACATGTTCCCCGGACGAGTGAAGACTAAGGAGAGCCAGAGATTTGATGTCAAACCTGCAAATCGAGGTGATGACATGTTTAAATAAAACATTGCCTGCAGTTGAACATGTTTTTTTACATCAGCTCTGTTCTTTGAAATAATATTTCCCACATACATTCAACCCTGAGTGCAGTTCGAGGAGTGTCGTACATTCAGCATATTTCATGGTTATTGAGGCCAAGCAGACAAGACTCCGGCTTCAACGTGACTGATCAAATGTGTGACTAGTTCTTTATAAGCCTTTAATAAAAGTAACCCATGCTTAGATGAATGCCAGCAGTCGCTTTTTTCATTGGATTGATTAATTTTGTATTTTTATGCTCATTCAAGGTTGGCAGCTTGATCAAAGCTTTGCTGACATGAATTCTCACACTCAGAGTTTTCAAAATAATGCACCAGCCATGACAGGTTATTGATTCAAAACCATTTTATCTCATTTGGATATAGACATTTTCTGAATATTTGATTGAATAAAAAAAAAAGCCTGAATGTTAGTTGAATGAATAAGTGCATAACAATATCTGCATAATTTGAAACAGAGTCACCAAGGTTTAAATCACTCAGGCAGTCAGCACAGCCAAATGCAACCCCATGTTAAACATTTCAATAATACTAGAATGGCACTCAGTTGGGTGCATACCTCTGGTTCAAACAGTCTCCACCTAATTAAGCTGCACTAAATTTCACAAATAAGTTCCATAAAAATGTGTGATTTTTCATTAAGATGCAATAATTATTTCCTGTGAAAATTGTAAAAATGTTGAAAAAAAAATGTCTTCATCCTTACTGCATCCTAATTTGTGGAAATCTGTTCAGCGGTTTTAGTGAAATCTTGCTTACAACAAACAAGCAAATGGACAGGGTTCATGCAAAAATGGCTGCAACTAACACTGTATAGGCTACTGTATTTTCCTTATGCAACAGATTCATCTTTCTGTTATATTAAAATGTATCAGTTAATTGTTTAGTTTACAAAACCATAAAATAGTAGTAACTGCCCATTGCATTTCCTCAGACCAAACTGGCCCCATTAAATATTTGTTCAGCCTACAATCATTAGTCCCAATATGTTGAATTTAAAGTGATAAAATAAGAAATAACTTTGAGATGCTGTAATGAGATGATGTTTGGCATTTTCTTTATGGATGATTTAAACATTTTATTTAAATAAATATTTAATCTATGAATCATTTTTCTAAAGACACCTCATATATGTATTGTTTCAGGTTTTATTTTGAAAAGCATACACCTATTAGGATGAAGCCAAATGCTTTGTCTGCTTCATCCATGGAACTGATTTAGATTTTTTTATACATATATAATCTTTAGATGCAGGAGAAGCAGTGAGTTTGCACAGCTCATTTATTATTCATTTTTAAATACCAGCAATACCAGAAAAAGTCCACACTTGATTTCATTTCTGGCAGAACAACTGTCAGTGAATCAATAGAAAGGCTCGTGTTTGTTGGAGCTCAGTAAGTCTCAGTCTTTCAGTTCCTCTCCACCTGAACCGAATGTGATCTGTGCCAGTTTGGTGTACGTCTCGAAATGCCTGGAGCTGAGGTACGTGCCGAAGAAGATCTGCAGCACCAGCACCGCCCTCATCTTCCTGAGGATCGGCCGGGACAGGTCCGCACAGTACCGTAACATGTTGCCCTTCTCCGGCATGGGCGCCGTTCTGTACCTGGTGGCGAGGCCGATGTTGACGGGTAAGGCCAGGAGGATTGGGTACACGCCGGCACCGACCACGCCGACCAGTGCGCCCCGGATCAGGACGCAGCTGGGACAGTTGAGGTCGCCGGACAGGAGGGGGCTGGTCACCGACGCGTGGTACAGGGCCACCGTGGTCATGAACGGCAGCGCCGCCATCGGCAGGCTGGAGGTGATTGGCGCCTGAGTGATGTTCAGGGCTCTGCGGTACAGGCTGTTGGCGACCAGCCCTGCGAGAGCCCCGTTACCCCCCAGATACAAGGGTCCGTACTGGAAGAGCTTCCGGTCAGAGTCCGACAGCCTCTCGAAGTTCTTCGCCAGCATCTCCGCCACCACAGATCTGTGGCGCGTGTTTCCGGACACGCTCTCCGGCTGCGTGTTGTCCGACATCTTCACACGGGATTTAAAACTGATAACAAGAGTTCATCAGCTGGAGATCCTGGTTTACAGGTGGAAACCCAGTGTTATGTCATTGATGGGAGGTTGAGCTCCGGATGAAGACAGGGCGCAGACATGTCTACTCTTACCCATAATTCAGAGCGCCACTTTAAGTTTTCTTGCCCTAAGTCGAGACTTTCAGGCAAGAATGAACATTTCTACACCTTTTTGATGATATAGTCTTGATCTATTTGAAGATGGTGGAGTCTGATATGACAGAAAGTGGATGCTAAGTCGTGTTTTTTTTTTAAATGTGCTGCATAAATCCAGTTTCTGGACTTTGACTTCACCTGTAAGACTAAACTCAGGACACCAGATCATTGGCCCGGACTGAGTGGGCGGAGCTTTAGCGCGTTACGTCGGACGTGTTTTCGAACCATCTGGTCCGTGTCCGCTCCAGCGCTCAGTCACCGGCGCCATTTTGGAAGAGGAATAGTTGGAAGCGTTCTCCAGTTTCTTTGTTCAATTTTTAAAAAAACTCCTAAACCTACTGTTCTCATTGTTGAAGTGGGGTAAGGGCATTTTGTTTCAATCATTCACAATCACCATATTATTGTTTCCCAACGTTTAATGCATTGCATGAGGCCAGTGTTAGCGTTAGCAGCTAACTTTAGCCCGTTAGCTTCTCCGATATTCGACGTCTCGTCGACAGGACATTTGCTCGTCTGACGAGGAAACATGTTTCATGGGATGTTGTAGGTTCACAATTCGGCCTGTAACTTTCTGTCACGAAAACAGTCTCCAGTTGTTTAATGTGTTGACTCATCAGAGTGAGGTTTATTCCATGTTATGCATGTGGATAATGGATTTAACATTGTGTCGCTACATGGGTGGCTAGTTAATGTGTTAGGGCCTTTGGATCGAGAACAGACTGAAGCTCGACGACAGCCTCTGTATCTACTCACGTGTATTCAGTTTAATACGTATTGTTACAGAATATTCCTAAAACCTCACTGTGAATGGCGACCTAACGTAAACACGCTAACAAAGGAAAGTGTGACATGTATAGGGCCCCACCAGGCCTTAATCGTGTTATGACAACGTCGATCATATGATAGTTCGCTGTTGCCACATTTCACTTTTATGGCACGAGACCTGCATGTAAACAAGATCACTGCGGATTTATATAGCTGAATATCGACTAATATAATAACAACTGTGCTTTTAAACTGGATGAATATTTTGAAGTCTTCACACGAGAGAAGGGGAAGTCAGGCTGTACGATTTGTTTTTGTCCAGAGTGTGCTAAGTTTAAGTTACATTTTTGCTGCTGATGAACTTGTCAAATTTGAAGCCATCTAGCGTTCGGTCTTTCAATCTGTCAATTAGTTAACATAGTTTTATTACATATTCTCTTATATCACATCTATTACTCGATTTTGGTATAATTGCAGACACACTGAATACTGGCCTCCTCGCATGCTCCTGACAGAAACGTCGTGTTGTGGATTGAACATGGATGTGGCTAGGTTACATGTCTTTGAGTCCGTGGGATTCCATGCAGCCATTAATCTTTTTCCGTCTTCCAGATGCGTCACTCAAAGCGAATGCGTTCCCCAGGTGTCTGGCTGGACGAGTACAGCTGGGAAGAGAGAATGGAGTGTCGTAAGCGAAGGAAACAAGATTCGCACAGCAGCGAAAGAGAAAACAAGTCCAGCACAACCCGCCGCCACCTCAACGCACACGATGGGTAATTATCTATTGCTTTTGCAGTGTTAAGTACTTCATTACGGAAGATATAACAGCATAATAACCTATACAGAATATAAATGGCAGATTCAATTTTTGGGGGCAGACACATTTTTTCATATCAGTCGATATTGACATGTATCACAATATAAATCAAATCATTATTTGCTGCAGAAATGCTTTTGTATTTGTATTTTGTAAGTCATGCTGATGTGACAGTTGTCTTCTAATAAACTTCAGATTTGTAATTTTAAGAAATATAATTTTTTATTGGGGACCCATTGAATTGTCCATGCACCCACTCAAATCACTACCTGTGGGTCCAATGGGCTCACTACAAAGAAAACCTCAATCTCACAGCATCACTATTAATCTAAAGGCTTCAGATATGTTTTACTTGTGTATTCCATATTGCTGATGGTATATGCACTGTAGAACACAAAGCTAAGTCAGTTTTCTTAGTAGCACATATTTTTTGTGAGAATTGATCCCTTTTTTATTAAATGATAATATTTGGATGTGCATGTGAACTTTTGCAGTTCTAACTTCTTTTGGGCATAAATGAGAGCCAGTGGGGTTACATCAGATGTTTCCATATCTACTCTAATTTTAATCCTGTAGAGAGGCAGACTTCTTCTTAGATGATAACTGACACCACCGAGGTGCTAGGGCCTGTGGTGTTTCTTGGATGCTTAGTGACCTGGACGTCATTCATAAACAACATAAAATTAGGTATTTCGCCACTTTTAACAGCTGGATATTACGATAACTTTTCTATTATCAGTATACCTTGCAATAATAGTAGGTGCAAATATTTGATGTAGAACCACATGTGGTTTTATGCTCCAACAGGTTGTGCTGAAAAGCTTTTAGGGACTTGCCAATGTGGCTCTCTGTCAAGGTGCTTGAGTTTTAAGGAAGCCATGTTTTGGGTTGTCTAGGAGAAGGCGGGATGTTAAAATAGCCCAAATATTTGGCATTTGCTTACGCCCAAAAGAGCTATTTGGACATTGACACCCTGCCAATAAAATGTTTTCAGAACTGCAACCTCTCATTGAACACGATGCCTGGGTATGGTAGCTATAAATCATTATGTTGCTAATTACAAATGTTGCATAAAAGGCTCTGGATACAGTGTCAGGGAATAGGCGGACCGTTCTGACCAGTCAAATACAGTTCTCACTTAAGAGCCTGATCACAGACATTGAACAAGGCTTTTCCTGATCTGACTGTTTGTAGTTCCTATTTTTCATCTGTGTTTGTTCATTTTTCTTTGTATGCAGGCATTACCTAGAGTCCCGCAGCTTGAACCTGAGGCTGGACACTCGGGAAGGACGCACCCGGGACCACAGTTTGGACATGGCCTGTGAGGAGGACAGTCGAGAAGCCACCTGCAAGAACAGAGACCTTGACTGGCACCACTACAGCAAGTCATCGGGGCGTAGTGGACGGAGTGGTCGCAGCAGGCGAAGCAGTCGCAGGCACAGAGACAGAAAGTGCCGGCGTAGTCACTCTCGCCAGAGGTCTTCCACGGTATGAAACTTCTCCCCCCTTCCCTGTCTATACCACCAAATGAAAAGGGTCATTATTACTGGTGTTAAGCCAGTGCTTAACACCTATTTAGTCGTCTCTATGTATCTCTGTGTGTTCTGCACCTCACTATTAAGCATGATTTCCAGTAAAGACAACAAGGGGGGCTTACAGGCTCAGGAAATAGGAGAGTGTTTAGTATAGATTTGCAAGACAAAAGAGGACCATGTATTTGTGCTGAAATCTTAGTGGAAAGTTATGGTACCTGATTTTACAAAGAACTACATGTAGAAAAACTGTAATCACTCAACTTCAGTTTTTTCTGTACTACTCTGAGAAAGTCTCTCATCTGAAAATCTTGTTGCCATGTTTTTCTTCTGTAACACACACTATGTGGTGGCTGGCGCCCAATTTCTCTGACGGGGCTGAATTTGAATTTGCTGCTCCGTCCATTCGCCTGGCGGTGTTACTGAACGGGCCGAATCTATCCACCCCTACACCTTCCCCCCTTGGCCTGGTTGAATGAATGACGGTGTCCCATTGTGGTGGCCTGGTGCTGGCTGACTGATGGGTTATTGATGTGATGGCGGATTGCGGCGGTTCCGGTGCAGAGGAGGAGCCATCACCGCAGGAGCAGGAAAAGATCCAGGAGTGTTGAGGATGATGGCGAGGGTCACCTCATCTATCACAGTGGAGACATGCTGAGAGCGAGATGTATAGAATATATACCTTTTTTTTTTCTTCTGTTCACACATTGTGCCTCTCACTCTCTTTTTGTCTGGTTTTTATTTCTAAACATTAATTTATTGGATGAAGTATTTGGGCCATAGAATAGACTAGAATGGACTTAATCTATTTGGTTTGATATCGCTAGTCAGTGTAACATATTTAGTATAGAGTTATATGCCAATGTTGTGAATCCTGTTATAGTAGTGTACCTAAACAGCAATGTAACATCAGGCAGTGAACCAGCCAAAGGACAGTGTTTCACTTTGTCAGTGCTGTGTTTCTAACTTGACTTCTCTATTTTCTGTAGATGAGATTGTGTGTACTCTAGGAGAGGGTGCCTTTGGAAGGGTCGTTGAATGCATAGATCACTCTAAGTAAGTATAAATCGGAAAATATTCCCTGTGACTATTTTTCTCCATAATTTCCGACCATCTCTCTCATTTGATTTGGAATGTATTTATGTTTTGTGTTTCCAGTGTTGGAGCTCGAGTTGCTCTGAAGATCATTAAAAACATAGACCGCTACCGTGAGGCAGCTATGTCTGAGGTAGAGGTGCTTCAACAGTTAAAGTCGCTTGACTCTGACAGGAGATAGTAAGTCATCAACAGTAACTTCATACCACTGAAGTCTGATAGTTTAAGAAGATTGTGTTCAGAATTTGACAAAGAGGAAATGACTACATCTTTTTTTATCTTTCCTCCTCCAGTGCGTGTGTGCACATGCTGGACTGGTTTGACTACCATGGCCATGTTTGTATCGCCTTTGAGCTGCTTGGCCTCAGCACCTATGATTTTCTCAAGGAGAACAACTTCCAGCCTTTTCCCATTGAACACATCAGACACATGGCATACCAGATCGTCCGAGCTGTTCGATGTGAGTAGTATACACATGTTCGTACACAGAAAACACAATATGAGTGCGAAAATAGCCTGATTTAATTTGTGTGTGGTGTTGTCTTTCAGTTATGCATAAGAACAAGCTGACTCACACAGATCTGAAGCCTGAGAATATTCTCTTCATCAACTCAGACTATGACATGGAGTACAACTCTGACAAAGTGAGTGTCCTAAATATTTAACCAAAAGATATCATACCTGCAAAAGCCCAATACACGTTGTTGTTCCAGCAGCTGTATAAGTACATGATTGTGTTTTTGTCCTTTTAGAAAAGGGATGAACGAACATTGAAGAACCCTGATGTGAAAATTGTAGACTTTGGTAATGCCACGTATGAGCACGAGCACCACACGTCTGTTGTGTCAACACGTCACTACCGTGCTCCTGAGGTTATTTTGGGTAAGTGGTTGATTTCAAGAGCTGCACTAACACTTGAGCAGACCCTTTGTTGGTGAATTGTGATTGAGTTAACATTGTCTCTTTCAGATCTGGGCTGGGACCATTCCTGTGATGTCTGGAGTGTGGGCTGTATACTCCTCGAGTACTACCTTGGATCCACTCTCTTCCAGGTAGGTAGCAGCAGAGAGCATCATGAAATGATAAATACTTATTGACCATTGTATTTAATAATCTGCTTCATTTTGTTCTCTTTATCAGACCCATGACAGCAAAGAGCACCTCGCTATGATGGAGAGGGTCCTGGGCCCTATCCCCACAAACCTCCTGCAGAAAACCAAGTAAGAGCTCATTAACAGACTTATTAACAGTTCTTGATCGCTGTGTAATGGATTGGCTATGAATTGTAATAATGGGAGGTAAATGCTAAATAATTACTGTGTGTTGTGTAGGAAACGGCGGTATGTTCACCGGTGCAGACTCGACTGGGACATGCACAGTTCCTCTGGGAGATATGTCAGAAAACACTGCAAACCACTCAAGGTAAGAGGAATAGATCTGGAGATCACCACAGACAGTCTGTGTGGGAGCACTGATGAATAAACCTGGTTTTAATGAATATGATTTAAAAAAAAAAATAAATAAATCTTTCAACCATACCAAAATTCTGATGATTTTGTGTTGCATTATGTAAAGTATCACTAATCAGCTTTGCTTAGTGAAATGTAAGAGCACATACCACTGCCAAGGCCCAACAGATCCCATATGAAACCATATGATAAACGTGATAGGGATTTGAATGTGGATCTACACCAAATAGCACTAATAAATATTGTTCTCCTAAAGATTCCTGATTTTAGAAAGTCTAGATCAAAGAATTATTGTCTGAGAAATCAATCCTATCTCATATTGTTAAAGAAAGAAAGGTCCTCTCAATCAGTTGAATCTTATGAACACATATGATGTAGAATATTAAAATGCTGAGCTCTAGATTAATTATATATAAATGTAGACGCACATTAAATGTTGTCCTTTTGTCCCTTCAGCATTACATGTTGTCTAAGGGTGAAGACCACCAGCAGCTGTTTGACCTGATAGAGAAGATGATGGAGTATGACCCAGCAAAGCGCCTCAGCCTTGAACAGGCCCTCCGACACCCCTTCTTCTCCTGTTACTACAGCAGCAGCAGCAGAAGCAAAAACAGTTGTAGCAGCAGCAGCAGTAGTATTAGCTGTAGCAAAGGCAGCAGCAAAAGCAGCAAAAAAGACTGAACTCCTGAACATGTAAACTTTGACCTGTAACCTCGGACAAGGCCTGGCTGTCCCTGTGATTCATGGTGCTCAGTGCCAGCCTCAAGCTCCTGACTCTCCAGGAGAGGCCCTTTACTGACTGTATCAGTCCTCTGCCCTGCTCTGCTGTGTCCTGTCTCTAAACCAGTGTGTCTTAAAATCACGCATCCACATGCGTTTCATCCGTGGCATGTTTTGATGTAAAGAATTCTCCTGAATGATTTCTATTTATTTGCCATTGTAATTTAAATTGTAGCTTCAGAATATATACTTGTAAGCCATTTTTTTCTCTCTTTTTAAAAAAAATTCCTTTAGACTCTGGTTTTGTCCACATTCTGTCTTTGCATTGACAAGAAGGTTAGAGAGTCATGCAACAGACAGAAGTGTTTAATGAAATGAATCACACAGAAGCAAATGTGAAGCGAATATTACCAAAGTTGAACTTGACGTGAAGCTACGCTGCGGATTTGCTTTGCTACACGAAATGAATGTTTCTGAGGCCTCCTGGCTAGCACAGAGTGGAAGTGAACGGGAAGGTTCACTACTGCTACATTTGTGCATAAGTGACTGTGCCCTTACCCTGTTTTGATCGCAACACAAATAATTTATTCAGCATTGTAGATGTTAAAGAAGCTACTGCAGGCAGAAAACCCTTGTATAAATACCTCCTTCCGATATTTCTTTTTTTCACTGACTTGTTATGTAACTTTTGCATCCTGTGCATTTTCTCAATAAACGTGAATAGACGACAGGAGTGTGTCTTTGTGTCACAGCCTTTTTATATACAATCTTTGTGTCACAGCTCAATGATTGAAAGTTGTTGATAAATATGGTGTTGTAGCTGCCTCAAACCACAAAGGGGCAGTAAAGAGCTTTGGCAACAGCGTTAAAGTGCAGTAACTGAGGAGCAACATGGAGGAGCCACCTGAGCGTGAAGCTTAGTCTAGTTTTAAGGATGTAACAGGTATGTGGGGTAAAAACCATTTAACCATAGGCTTAAAGAATTTCAAGAACATTTTCAAAAGTGAGCACAGTGGAGAGTGTTTTGGTGCCACGTTTCTATATTGAGGTTGAAAGCACCAGTTCAAAAGGTTGGAGCTGCTTTGGGAATTGTGACTGTAACTTCGGGAGAACCGACGTCTGCAGGATATTTTGCACAATCTGCGTTGCAGTAAAAGATGCAGCAACTTAACTTGACTCCGTTATTGTTCAGTATTTAATGAATGACTTTTCACAATGCATGACTAACAAGGCACAAGTCGTCCTCATAATGTCCAGGTGAGCGGACTGTACCATCTCACCCTTAAGTTCCGTGACGGTCATCAGAAGTTGACTGATCCAAACCCTCTTAGTCTCCCAGCTGTCAATCTGCAGCCTCCCACGTGGTCCGCAGGGCGGGCGCATCTCCACCAGTCGAACATGCGACTTTTAGGGAGGCAAACATTTGGACCCATTTGTAGTTGCACTCGCACACGCACGTCAGCTGCTCCCCAACAAGAAAAACGACGACCAGGAGGCGTCTCATCTGTCATTAGTGCCCAGATCGCTCCCATCTGTGCGGCGTAAACCCGGTGCGCACCGCCTCCTGTTCCAAGACTCAGTTTGAACCCCGCGCCTGCTGAACTGGAGCTGGGCGCTGCATAGTTAGTCCACAGAGGCTAATTGCAATTAGCTTGCAGAGCTACACTAAGAAGGTTATTTTGCCAACTTGGAACCCAGAAGCAGGATGGATACAGCCAGCGACTCAGCCGGGGAAAGTAAGCCGGTGTGCCAGTGTGCCCCCAAGTCTGCGGTCCAGCGGTGGTTACCCGGTTTCCCCGTCGCCCTCTGCTTGCTGATGTCCCTGAGCTCTATCGCCGTGTGCCTCCTCATGAGCCTCAAGACCTTCCAGCTGGAGACCCGCCTGCAGATGGAGATGGACAAGGCGTCCGTCTTCAACCCACCTCACAGCGCTTTTCTAAACGAGGACGGGACCCTGGTTCCAGAGCTGAGCACCTCCATAGGGAAGCTCGTGGAAGAGGTATACATATCCTCTATTGTGGATTTAATTAAAACCACTTGTTCTTTAATAGATAGACACGTGTCTCACACGAACCTCTGACCGATGCGCGGCTCGCCTGTGCGTAAACTGTGCGTAATGACCGGGAATCAATTGAAGGTTTGCAGACGCGCAGACTTGGCACTGTTTGGGAGCTGCACTATCACTATTCCTCGTAAAATCTGTCCCTTTTTAATGCATGACCTTAGGGATGAGCCGTGCATGCAGCTGGCCAAATTAGTTTACAGCTGAAGCTCTTTACAGGGCAACATAACCGCTGGTGATAGACACTAACATTAATTTAATTTAACCACGTGGGAGAGAAATAGAGGAAACCCTTTGTTTCTAGAGCTACATGTAATGAGGGAAATGTGATTATTATTGTCAGTGAAAGCTAATGAGAGAATTTTCATCTCATTACACTTTATATATTTTCCACTGTAATGATATCAATCTGTTCATGTCAATCTGACCAATTCTGTGGCACACGTCTTGCTCAGACCCAATCAAAGTAAAACTATCACTTACAGTGTTGTGCATTGAGAGTTTGCATGTAGTCAAAAGTGGGATTTTTTGTCTTACGCTGGAATTTGTGTCTGCAGAAAGTGGTGGTGCTGATGCCGAAAGCGCGAAAAGTGAGGGATGTTGGTCAAGAGTGCTCCTGTCCTCCAGGTACGTAAGTGTGTGTGTTTTATTTGCAGCATTAGTGCCACAGACATAAACAAAACAAGCAATACACTGAGCTACAGTACTTTATCTCTGGGAGTTCAGTCCAAGCTTGACTGACTGCTGGTGACACCTGATTGTGTCTCTGTTTGTGATGCTGTTTATACTCCTGAACTTTGAAAATGCATGTTTGTGTATACATCTGTCTTTTTCTGTGTGTGTGTGGGGGGGGGGGGCTTACAACCCCTTAAGCCTGTGATGGGCCTTTATATGCAAGGGGTGGCTCAGCACTCTGCAGGTCAGTGGGGTTGGGTCGCCCAGCTCGGGCCCTGCAGCCCTGTGTCAGTGAGGGATGCTTTATCACTTTAATAGATGGAGCAGCCGTGTGCCAAGATTGGCTACGTTTGGCTTGTGGTGTTCATTACAGGGCTTGTGATAGTTCCTGGAGTGGAGAACAGTGTGTGATCTGCATCATGTTACACGCAGACACTCCTGTCACGCCTGTGAAAAAATTAATCTCTTTTATTTTGGGTAAAGTTAGATATATGATGTTAGGCGTGTGCTCCTAGGTGTTGATGCATTTTTATGATGCGTGATGGGTGTGACCCACAATGGTTTAAATGGGCTAGTTTAACCCCTCACACATGGAAAGGAAAGTTTCTGATTTATGGACTGAGAAATCCTGTAACTTGCTGTGTGTGCATGTGCGTGCGTGCGTGCGTGCGTGTGTGTGTGTGTGTGTGATTAGATTTAAAGGTGAAAGCCTGTTTTAAGGTTAGACAAGTAGTAACTATGGTTAAGGTAGGTATATGGTGCAGTTAGTGTCCAGGAAATCAATGTAAGTCAATATCATGGAGACTGCGTGTGTTTGTGTGTTCCCTCAACTCAGTGCTTCAACTGCTTGTGCACAATTTCTGCTCCCACACTTTTGGATCGACACGATTTCAAAACGTACAGGTCAAGTTTCTAAGATGCTTATCTGCAGATTTGGGAGAATTTCCTTCCCTGGCTCCTCTTGTTTTTCTGTCTTTCTCTTTGTCTGCGGGTGTGAATAGCCCTGCAACAACAAGAACAGGTGAAAACGTTCACTCGTGGAATTTCTGGCCCTTTATCAACACATTCTGTTTTCCAGTCTGAACTCTGCGGTGCCAAGTTAGCTTGCTTGCTCTGTCTGAGTGGTCTGAGAAGTATTACTGTTGGAGAAAGCTGCAGGTCTTTGCTACAGTTGCACTTCTTGGGTTCATTCCATTTCTACTAAGTATGACTCAGGAAAATGTAATCAGGCGTACACATGATTAGATCAGCCTGCACTGTCCTACTTGTATATCTGAATGAAATTGCTCCAGTAGATATTATTATTGTTATTTTTGATGAATTATTATTGTTATTATATCAGATGTTGCATCCCATTTTTCTGTCAGCTTCCCTGCACTGCGGTGTAATCACACAGTTCTGGCACTGAGATACAATCCCTCCACAACTATTTAGGGTCCTTTCTTTTCACTTTCTGGTCTTTTAAATATGGACTTTTGATTTTGCAGAAACAAAAGGCTATTTTTTGTGTTGCGGCTTTGATGTAACCGAATGCCTGTGGACATGTGTTTTATTCATGTTCAATTAGATTGCGCAATGCTGACCTTTTTTTTTTTAACTTTCTAAAGAGGGTTAAACCTGTTCTTGGTGCTTTGAGCGTGAGAAGCCACTTGAGCTGGGTACTATCAGGGGCGTGCATGTGTTTGTGCCAAGTGCTGCTCATGTGATTGATGTAAAATGTTTCTATGTGCATTTATCCGAGCTGCGCTTCTGTGCTTACATCTGCGTCCTTGTGTGAGAGCAAACAAGCTGTATCATGGTCCCATGAGTGTGGTGAGTTTCAGCCAGTGAGCCTTTGAGGGGCCGACAGAGGTACCTCTCTCAACACGACGCTGTAAGAAGAGACTCTTCTCTCCCTTTAGCACCAGCTCTCGCCACCCGAAACTTGAATCGCTCACCACCAGGATCACAGGCCAAGGTATTTCTGCTTGTCTGTGTGACAGTACCACACAGCATGAGCAGCATTGCTGCCATTAAAGCTATGCCCTCCCATCAGGGAGCTTTTCTTTCATTGTGCATAAAGATGAGGGCCCAACAGGGGGCAGCACTTCGGCTGCATTAGTGAAAATGATGATGTTGAATATTGGGGCTGACACTTCTGAGTGAAGAACTTCCTTTGGACAGAAAATAAGTAGTTTTTCAGTCACAGCTGGAGAAGCAGAGACTGTCTGTCTGTAGATAAACTTCAAGCACAGACTCAGACTCAGGACATTTATCTGTGGAAGCAGCTTTGTGACACCTCTGTGCTCACGGATACGACACATCCAGCCGTCGTTAAGGCCAAAGAAAACTATGTCACAGAGTCCAACTCTCCTTACAAGCTTCAGGTGCTTGCAATTAGCACCCGCCTGTTCCCTCAACAGACACACAACGCATGTTTGCAGACAAACGTACGCACACATTCATTACGTACACATGCACATAACACCTTTATGGTGCCTTGGGTAACTAGAACCATCTGGGGGCTGTATTTGTCTGTGTAGAGGGAGTGTATTGTCATCTCTGCTTTTTGCATTTAAAAGCTCTTTAACAGGTCTGATGCTGACTAGGGGGCATAACGTCTGCCCACACTTGGGCACGGGCCCAAAACTAAATGCCAGACCATCGTCATCCACCAGCAGGAGAAGGTGCTAAAACAAAACAGTTCACACTCATTTGCTGCTTTGCTTTGACTTTTATGACTTTGGAGTAATTATACTCGGAGTTAGATCTGTTGGCCTGTTGGCTTTTCTCAACTTTCCTAATATATTTATTGACTAAATGATACATTTGGCAGAGTTAAACCCAGTTGCGTGTCCTGAGTCACACCCTTCAGATGGAACTCCTGAGCTGGAGGTTACGATGTGGGAAGTCATGCACATGGTGTGCTTGGCGTTCAGGTGAGAACACTGCTGCTAAGCAATGGCAACATGGACACTAATATTGAAATTACTGTTGGTGTCTAGAAGCCACAAAGACAGTTTAGAAAGCTAACAGGCTTGTAACGTACATTTATGAAATGCCAAGACATAATGATAGAGGGAAAAGATGAGACTGTTGAGAATATCAACATTCTCCTCAGACGTTTTCTAAAATTCAAGATGTTTATTGTTATAAGTTATTTCAGTACCAGTGTGAAAGCGAAGAAAATGTACCATAATAAAATAAGAATACTCAGACATAAGATCACATAAATATAGAAAAGAGTGAAAGGTTGAATACTTATTGTGCTTAAATGTTTTATACAGGCCTGAAATCTCTATATGACTAAGAAAAACTCCAAGCTCTGAGGTGGTGATTACCGTTCATATGGACTCAGCGTATCTGAGTGTTTGGTTTTATTGTATATGAGGACAGGAGGTCAGACCTCTGGCTGTTCAGTCGGATCCATTTCCATCAGATAAGAGCTCATCAACGCTCTGGACGGGAGCACAGGCCCTGATACATGTGTTTGTGTTTATTTATATAATTGAGAGTGCAGGCTCACAGCGGGGTGTCCTGAAGTATTTCACATGTACACATAACAACAAACGTTTAGTTGTTAACACAAATTCTCAGCTCCTTTTTGTATTTTTATTGTTCCTCAAAATTCCTGCATACGTGGAGGATTATTATTGTATCCCACTGTCTGCACTAGACTTATGTTTAATAGGCTGAGAAATCCAGTACGGCGTCCTGTGCGGAGCTCATCAGCAGTTCGCTGGTGTTATCCGCCCTGTCTGGGGATCAACTTCTCGCCCAGGAGGCAGAGGGGAGGCTCTCCTGTCCCAGCTTCCTGCTCTCCCACTTGGAGGAGAAGATGGGGAAAGTTGGCTTTAAGGAGACGGAGACCCACGATGAAGCCAACAGCCCCTCAGGGCAGCGTTTTATTTAAAAAGCCATAATAAATCAGACAGGAAACTTGCAGCTACCTGTGCAATGTATCGCCACAGAAAGAACGAATGGGCCATGCACGATCCATTAATGACCATTTTAAAACAATAAGTCCAGGAAGTTTGTTTTCATAAGAGGTCCTATTTTAAATTTGTTCCACTGCTGCATTAGGCTGTAGGCACTTTCTTTAAGTAATAATATGCTGGAGAGCCGCACATAACTAACTCTGCATGTGGACGTGTGCAAGTCTCGAGTTCCTTATAGTGTGAGTGTGAGTGTGTTCATGGTCTATGAAGTAAGTTATGAACAGAGTATCCTGTGGCCAAAAATCCAGGTGGCTTATTATATTCATGCTGCAGGGCAAAGGAGACTTTAAACCGAGGAAAATAGTCAAGTATAATTTTAATATATGAAATGCTCTCTATCCTGCTGCTTCACATCGTCAGGTGTCCGTGCATGTTCAGGGACTAACACTGGAATTCTCAGAGTCGGCCTGCCGAGTGCTTCTGCTCCTCACAAAGCTGGAGTTGAGTTGAAGTCGTCATCCATTCAGCTCAGTTTTTATTTGCAGAATGGAGTTTTCACAGCTATGAAACCATGATGTTTGCATTATCTTGATTCTGAGCTTTTGAAGGGAACAAAGTTACAGTGTCAGTGGTGATCATATGGTGGATTTTGTCAGAAAGGAAGTAGCCTAAGACGACACCACCTTATTTTCTGCACCCTGCCTTTCATTCACCGTCATATGGACAGCAGCTCTCGTGCACAGCTGTGTGAGCTTTGAGTCCTCAGGTGACTTTTATCCTTCAGCCGAGGTGTCTGTTATTCCCTGTGGTCACTGTGAGAGGGGAATAAAAATGAGCGACTCTTCTTGATATCTTGTTCTTATTTGGAAGCTGATCTCTGGAGGCTAGAGTGTGCTGGGTTTATTTGTAGAAGGAGGGGGAATGCTGCGTCTCAGCCAGTTGGAGATATTTAGTTTGGAGATGGTTGAGTCTGTCAAAGGCTGAGTCACTTGGTCGTAGATTTTGGCTTCAAGAGGTTCTTCACCATGGATGGGC